TAGTTAATACCAGACTATCTTTCTAGTTTCCATTTATATTTTAGTTATTTCGGACATCCTAGAGGAGGAGATTCAGCTAAGAATTCTCTGTTAGCATATTTATTTTCAAACACATACACATTTGAGTATGTACATTTTTCTCTAATTACCACTGTTGGTTCCCAAAATTGTTTTGTGTAGCATTGTTTTAGTAAACAGTTGTGAATACATCGTCCTTAATATTAATCTTTCTGTATTTTAGAATCTTATTGAGGTCATCCATATTTGTGAGTAGCTTGTGCATTGATTATACTGGTGATTTGTAAAAAAAGAAAATTTTTTTAAATGGAACAAAGTTTGTTATACAGTTACTATGTTAAACATGAAAAATTATGCTTTTTAACTTACTGCATAACTGTATATTTTTAAAGATGATTCAAAGGCAAAATAATAATACTGATAATGAGTGCACAGTTTGTGGTCACTCATTATTTGATGCTATACGAAATTAATAATTAAAGTAGTGTGATATTTTTACACTGACCATAAAAGAGTCTAACTGAAGAGAGTAGAGAGTTCAGCTATAGACACAAGCGTACACTGAAACATGTGGCACAGCAGCCGTCACAGAGAAGTGAGGAGGGAGGCTTCTCAACAAATGGTGCTAAGACATTGTTTATCAATATTATAACAAATGATGAATACCTAGCTTATTAATTACCAAATTACACAGACACAATTATAAATATACATTTGTAGATAGATTGATACAAACATATTCATATGCATATCACGTAGGTACACACACACACACACACACACACACACACACAAGCATATATATACATATACACTTATATTTCCTATACTGTTTATGGATTATTTTATTAGTTCTTAACCTCGAAGTATATACTGACTCTTTATAGCATATATTTACAATTGATCATATAAGTCTTTCCCTATTACTAATAGTTTGAGGAGAAAAATGAAAAATTTAAATATATTTATATCTTTTTAAGAAATATTTCAAACATTCTAAAATTTGATCAACATATATGAATGGAACATAATACATATGAATGGAACTTACTGAAATTCTGGTGCTGAGGGTTTTCTTAATGCTTTATTCAAGGTTATTAGATATTTACAGACTTTACCAAAATATATTTTAATTTTAAATTTAATATCAGATAAATTAAATAATATAATAAAAATGAAAAAAGCATATTTGTATGTTTATCTTACATTTGGGTAGGAAATAAAATTATTTACTGAGGATATAAGTCAATGGAAAATAGATGTAAAAATTATAATGGTTTTTGTAAATGTATGTCCAAAATTATGATAAAAACAAATACAATTTTGCTACAAACAAAGGTCATAGAGCAGAGTAGTTTAGATCAGTGCTTCTTAAATACTCTTATGTTTAAGGACCATTCTTTTCTAACTACTCATGCTAATCTTTCCATGAAATAAAATAAAAATAAATTATTTAGAAATCTTACATTTTAAAAAGGCATACACATTATATTTTATACTATGTGCAAGAGATATAAACTTACTCATCCCATTTCTATAACATATTACAAACGTGTAGTATAAAATTTATTTACTTAGTTCACTCTAAACACACAACCCATACATCATGGAGCCACACAGGTCTCTGGAGCCCATAATCTCTGGTTTTATCTGTGAGCAGGGTTATGTCCCTTTTCTGGTTCTTACTACAACTTGGAATAGATACATAAAGTCTTTCTTCCTCCATTTAATCTACTTTAAAATAAAAGTAAAAACTCTATATAAGATTAACATGATGTTCAATAAAGTAATTATTGCATAAGAATAACAACTAGCATATATGCTTGGCATCACATATGCTTGGCATATATTAAACAGGCAAATGTCTGTTTATAATTTTATGGAATAAACTTTATCAGTCAGAAGTGAAAATAAAGTACTTGTCTTACTGTTACTTAGCAAGGTTTGTTTACTGTAATTGCTCCTAGTGTTTTCTAATGTGACAAGAAAATTGAGTGACTTTCTTGTGCATTTGTGAAAATTATAAAAACAAAAACAGCCTTTGTAAAATTACAAGTTGGGTTCTATTTTACTTACTAATTTTATTAGTAATTTCTTTGATTGGATTTACATTCATTTTTAACCTGATTTAATGCTAACTAATTGTATTCACTTAATTATACTTAAGGTTTTAGTATTTCTGTAAAAAACTTCTCTAATATGTAATACATTAACACTCTGCTGTTCTCTTACATTACTTTTAATATTATACTATAAGTGTCCATACTGTTTTTTCTTTCAATATTATTGGCTTTCATTATTACTTTCCTTTTTCACAAATAGAAAAGACACATTTTTACACAGCACCCTTTTAGCCACAGATATTTTCTTATGTATTAATATTTTCATTTAAAATTTAATTAATTTGTTATTTATTTTCTATGATGTAAGATGAGGAAACCTAATGACCTTATCAGAAAGTAGCTAGCCAATTACCTGATTCATATTTATTTATTGTCAAGTATTCTTTGTCTATTGGCTTTGAATACCTCCAATCAAATTTTATTTTAAACATAAAATTTCATATAAACACTTTAATTTTGTTACATGTAATAGCATTTACCATAATGTATCATTACAAAATTATTATAAAGGTTTGTATGTGTGTATAGATATATATATGCATGTGTGTGTGTGCCTGATTGTTTGCATGATAAAGATAACTTGCAAATACAGAGCTTCTTGACTTATTATGGAGTTACAACTCAAACCATCATATCATGTCAAAACGTATTTAATATACCTAATTTACAGAACATATTAGCTGTGTTGTCAACATAGGTCAAAACAGGGACAAGAAGGATTGATGAATAATGTGAGATTGTTCTCCTCTTTAGTCCGCTTCAAAATCTGAATGATAGGGTATTTCCACAAAGAAAAAAACATTTTAACAAAGAACTGTGACTATTTAGGGAGTATCTCTGTGTAGCACAGCGACCAATAATAGAGAAAGGAACAACTATCAGGAGTCAATCTCAGGTTAGAACCAATAGTACATGCATACATACTTACATAAATATATAAACATAGATTTATATATATATAAGCTTATATCTCTATTTATCATCTATCTATCTATCTATCTATCTATCTATCTATCTATCTATCTATCATTTATTAAAATAGAGAGAGAGTTTAAACAACTGGCTCACAGAATAATGGAGGCTGGCAAGTGTGAATTTGCAGGTCAGCCAAGCCAGCAAGCTGGATGCCCAAGGAAGAGTTGATGTTGCAGCTCAAGTTCCAAGTTAGCCTATAGTCACTTTCTTCTTTGGATGAACTTAGTCTTTATCTATGTAAGTCTTCAACTGATGGGATGAGGTTTAACCCTATTATGGACAATCTACTCAGACTGCTGATATAAATATTAATCACATCTAAGAAGTACTTTCACAACAGCATCTAGACTAGTGTCTGACCAAAAGCTGGATGCCATGGTCTAACCAAGTTTACACATGAAATTAACATCACAATGTTGTTGGGAATTATTTGCCCTGGAGGACTTTCTCACCTATCCATTAAAGAATCAAAAGTGATTAGGGCTTAGTTTTGATCTTTCCCGTTGATGTATTTTACCTGTAAAGATAGCTGATAATCTCAGGGGAATCTGAGCTCATAGAAAAACTATACTCTTTTTCTGAAGACTACAATGGTCTTAAAGAAAAATAAATGGGCTGTGAAATCTATAATAGAAAAATACAGCAAAACTGTCACACAGAAATAAAAATTTTATGTAAGCATAAATAAACACCTTCAAAAAGTCATACAGTATTATTGTAAATAAGAAGCAGGAATAACCTGATAAAATAATAAATCAAAGAGAAATTCCAGGTCTGAACGATATAATATTTTAAATAAAAACTCTGTAGATGGACAAATATGAAATGGATATGATTAATGAGCAAATAATTGAACTGGAATGTAAGATTGAGAAACTTCATCACATGTCATAAAGTTATAATGGCAGGAAATATATGCAAAGTTCAACAATATGGGGTCAGAAGAGAAAGCTTTTATATGATAAGGACAAGAGTATCCCCTTATCATAAAATTGGAGTCCCAAAGAAGAGCAAAATTCAGAAGTATTTGAAGAAATATTTATCTTGAATCATTAATATAAACAGATGCAAGAACTGAGACATAAAAGCCTTAACAAATACTAAAAAAAATAGATAAGAAGATCCTACAATGGGACAGTAGATAGTAAAAGTTTTAAAATTCTTAACATTTAAATAAATTTATAAAAACTTCCAGAAACCAATTTTGAGTTAAGAACAAGTGTTAATTTTGACTTTTTGATAATGATACTGAACGAAGGCAGCAATTATTTAATATAAAGTAATTGAAAGGGAAAAATACATGTGTTTAAACTGTTTGAACATCTTTGAAAGTGTATTCAAAAGGTTTTCTGTTTACTCTGTCTTAATGAGATAGGTATACATGTCTAGTGTTTGATGAGAGAGAGAGAGAGATTGTGGAAATAGATGCGCTACCTTCAAGCAGATAAGGTTATTAAGTAATTCCAACATAAATGTCAAGGAGTATATCTCATGCACTTTAAGCAGTCATTTGAAATAGGAACATCTAGCACAGTCTTAGAGAAGAAGCAAGTGTACTTAAATACAAGTCACTTCATAGCATATATTTTTAAGTGTCTGCTTTAATAACCCCAACATATTTCTTTAATTCAAAAGATGAAGAATATACAAAATGATATAATTTGGTGACACATTTTAGAAAATATTAAATAACAGATGAATTAATTATTTATAAAAGTTTGCAAAAATGGGATTCTGGGTAAATCACTAATCAGCTTTCACTGAGGGATGGCAAATTGTGTGAGTAAATGACAGCTTCTCAGGGCAGTTTTAGTGTGGTCTGTATTGGTTTCACTGGAGTTTCATGTCCATTTCACTCTTCTAGGCTTCTTTATTTTTTAAAGTCGGGGGAAAGCCCAAAGGCAGTCCCCTACTATCACAAATTATGCAGTCAAGTTTCCTACATTTGGCGAAATCGCAGGGCACATCCGGAGTGCAATGGATAAGACTCACCCTGGAAAAACCACCTTCGTGATCATGGTATGTCCCCTGCTAGGTGGCTTCTACTTCTTAATATAAAGTATATATTGATACATGTGATCTGCAGGGACTTGCCCTATTCACTCACCATTTTACAAAAGCAGCATTTCTAAGCTAAATGTATATAAATTTCTATTTTTTCTCCATCTTCTGTTGTCTGGATGCTTATATCAGTTGCTTTTCAATCAACTGTATTATTTTTCTTCTACATATTCATGAATTGTATTGGACAGCAGGATAAAGAAAATGTTGATTACAGTGTGTGAGACTGACAACTCCCCTCAAGAATACTTGGTATTGTGCTTGGACCTCTGTAGGAAGAATAAATATCTGATTATTTATCAGTTAATTGGAAGATTACCTAACTTTAGCTAATTGAAAGTGTAGATCATCCCAGGTCACCAACAACACAACTTCCAGTCACAGGTTTAGTAAGTTCCAGTACTCAGAAGCACAATTTCTTCCTGTAACACATTCCACGGGTTTTTATAACCTTCACAATTTGAGAAAGAAATAATTATTTTCAGCCAAAAAGGAAGAAAAACATATATTGTTCTGTAATCATTTGCCATCTTTACTTTTTCTTTTCCATCTTTACTTTCTCTTTTCCCTGAATGACAAAACATAAAAGAAAGCCTTGATAGCTTATATGCATACCTCATTGTCAAAATTCAACCATTGTCACACTAAGAAAAAAAGACCCTTCAATAATATGAATCATGAAATTTCAGAGGCATTATATTTGGCAATACATCAGCATATAGAGACATAGATGTACAGAAAGTTTCTACTTTCTACTGTTTTAACGTAGGAAAAATCAGTGGTGAGCACTGGAACATATTGTTAAGCATAAAATTAGTTTTCTTTCATAATGAAGCCACAGGAGAGTCAGGATTTAAATTAATTAAAATGATTACATAAACCCATGCTTTTGTGAAGTGTTAGACTACCAATTGTTCAGAGGCAAAAGAGAAAATTATTCTTAATTTATTGTCATATAATTATCCTCATAAATATATTTACTGCTGTTTCTCTGGATTCTTAACAACTTAATTTTCTCTGTTGTCATGGGGAATTTTATTACTACCCATGTTGATTTCTTCATGGGAGAGGACTTAGATATGAGGATAGTAGGCCTCAGGGATACATGGCAGATTTCATGATGTCCTGGTCAAGATTGTGATCTGCAGCTCACATGCTCACATTTATTGAACATTTTAAGAAGGGCCTATGTATTATGCAGTTGAATTATAAATAGATTATTATGCTGTATTGGGTGAGTGGTTCCGGAGATAAAATTTAAATCAGTAAACAAAAAGACCAAAAACAAAAGGAAGCTTTGAGCTGTTATGCAAAAAATAAAGAGGAATTTTGAAATTTGTACATCATCAGATTCCATCTCCATCTCCCCCGTGTCCCTTCATCACTGCAGCAAAAGTAGGAGCTTCATTTTTTGTGGAGAATAAGCAAAAACTCTCTAAAGCAAAGCCAAGTTGAGAATGAGGATGCTGAAAACAATTACAGAAATTGAGTCAACTCTTACATACCAAATTCTGGAATTCTCAGTTGACTTTAGCAGAGCTCCCACAATACTGGCAGCCAAGACTATAGAAATTGGCATAGGATTTCTGTAACCAAGTGACCCAGCCCACCACTCAACCTGTGTTAGACAAATATTGCCAAACAGTTGAGATACTCAAACCAAACTTTTAAAGCCCCATTATAAATATAAACAGAAATGCAAGCACCAGTATACATCTGAGGAAGGCTGATAATATAAAGAAGACCAAAAGAAAAAATAAATATTTAAAGAAAAAATATATGTAAAAGTCAAAGAAAAACTTGAAAGGGACAAGATATTCATATTCTCAGAAATAGAAGATAGGAACAATGAGATAGAAATAAAGAGCAAATGCAAATACACACAAAGGAGATATATATACATATATATATATATGTATCTCCATATCTAATATCCATATATAGAGATGTATATAAAATATAAAAACACAAAAAGAATATATATCTATATATTTTACACACACATACATATATATAGCTATATAACTGAAATTTCAAAACAAAAACAGTGAGAAAAAATTTTTTACAGCATTGCATTTCTATATTTTTACATCTTTCCTTAAGATCTGGTTTAATGGAAAATAGCTGTCACTTTATATGTACTGCTGTATTCAATTTGTGGAAATACATTGCTTTTTGAAGTATATGAGTAAAATCTGACCACACACAGAAAAGAGTTGGAAATAAATGAGTATTTTAATAGATTTTCAGATAGTAGTATTATTTGGGGATATTACATCAAAATTTAAGGGTGGTAGTTTCTTAATAGCTAGTTGCACTTTAGAAATGAAAGATATATTTTTTTACTCCACTACTTTAAAATCCATTGATAGATCTTGTATTTTGAATGGATCTTCCGCTCATGCATCATTTTATAACAAACAATGCCAATTTGGGAAATCTGGTCTCATTGAGTAATTCAGTTATTTTATATGTCAATATAATTCATAATAAAATATTGTAAAAATCACATTTGTTAATACCTTCACCATCTCATAAAGTCCTTATGTATTGGGAATCAGTCAATCATTTCCAAAACTTACTCTTTAGAAGTTCAAGTTTTGCTTTGGCAACAATAAATACTAAACTTCTCTTATTTTCTTATTTTTGTTTTATTTTATAATTTTTGTTTCTATCTGATTCGAGAATTACACTTTCACATTATTTACTCCAGAGAAAACATCAGCCAAATATCCAAGCTTGCATAACCATAATTATTACAATTACATAAACTTTACAAACATGTATTAGACCTTATCTTCATCACTTCCTTAACTACTGAAACAGGAAAAAGGAGATTCCTTTAAAGAAGGGGGTGGTACATGTGTTCTAAAATAGTAAACATTTTAAGTTTTTTGATCCCTATGTTTTTCCTTAGGTACTCTCTTTATCATTGTAGTGCAAAAGCAGCCAATGACAACATGCAAATGAATAAGTACAGCTCCGTTCTCATAAAATTTTATTAATACTCATGTGTCATAAAATATTACTATTCCATTAATAGTTTTATTCGTAACCATTTTTTAAATCTTAGCTTGCAAGGCATGCACGAACACCTGACAGCCCTATTTTGCTTTGGCACACAATTAATAATTTTCCTTGCATTAAAGAAAAAAGAGAGTCTTTATGTTTCTTCTCCCTTGCCTTGAACTTGAAATTAAATGCTCAAATTTGTATTTTACCTTGTGTATGCTCCTGGAGGGAGATACATGAAGGCCCATATACTTTCCATGATGTTTGTAATGACTATTGTTATTGTAGCTACTATGGACTAATGTCATTTGATCTCTCAATGTTTTGGCTGATACCTTCACTCTATTTGCTGCTACAGTACAGGATCATTTTTATGTCATGGTTACCAGCATTTCGTTGTCATTTGACAAAGTAGCCAGCTAAGCCTTCCATCAAATAGATGACTAACTTAATCCAAAAATCCATTTTGAGGTTCCATTCCTGAAACTCATGTTAATTACTGTATTGATCAGACTTTCGTTGTTGTAGATTTTTTAATAAAATAACTATCTAGATAAATATGAACATACTTAAATGAACCAATTAGAATTGTAAATAAGCATGGCACTGAGAACATCCATGGGTCTGGTTAGGAAAAGCAGGTTCACCAGACCCTGGTAAGAGCTATAACCATTTAAACAAGAAGGAGGGCACAAGAAAAGAGTTGTGGATACAAACATACGAATTCAATGGTCAACACTGTGGCCTCACAGAGAGGAAGCAGGGAATATCCTAACCTGTCTCTTCTCACTTCAAAGTCCTAATAGTCACTCTTATTGACCAAGGCCAACTGAATATCAGAAGGCAACAGATCCTATATAATAAGGTTATGGAGAACAAACTTAGACACAGACTTTCGTGCAGAAAAGGTCAAATAATGGGTATAGAAGGTCAATCAGAAGATAAACAGTACAAACTATGACTCTGGCTGCATTACAAGTAACGAGTTAGTTTGTGATAAGTCTGGTGAGATACTACTCTTAGTTTTTTCCCTTCAATATCTGCCACATTCCATTGGGAATTGGGGTAGGGATAAGTAAAAGCATGTTTCATCTGTCCTGCTCAGAAAACTAATTATTTGTGAAATGTGGGGTGTATGTATTTGAGAGATATTGAACCATTGAAGAGAAGAGAAGCAAAGAGATGAGAGACCAAAGAAAGAGAAGGAAGAGAAGAAAAGAGAGAAGAGCAGACAGGAAAAGAGAGATGGCATGAAGAAAGGAAAAGAAAGATAGAAAAGAAAATGGAGAAAAAGGGAGTCAGAGGAAAAAGGCAGGAGAAGAATGAAGAGTGCAAGGTAGAAAGGAAACATCTGAAGTACCCAATTGCAAAAGTAATGAAAATCTTGCCTTATTCAAAATAGTTTGTATGAAGCAATACTAATGTGTGTAATTAGATAAGTTTGTAAAGAAGAGCAATTCTGTATTTAAAAACTAAAAAAGAAACTAAGTTTACGACACTTGACAAAAAGTTACAGATCCAGAATTATCCTTCAATGAGCAACTTAAATAGCATCCTAACAAAAATTTAACAAACTATTATAATTTATGTGATGTTCTCACTTTTCTCATTAGGTGGTCTGTAATTCTCTGCCCTCCTGTTTCTAGGTGTCACCTTTGACCAGAGTTGCTTTCATGGCTCAACTCTCACATTCTCAGTAAGTTTTCCCTGATGGAAAGCCTTGACCTATCAGAGTGGAGAATTGTATTGATGAGGTGAAAAACATATAGCTTTTTACTTTCTGGACCCTCCCTAAGGATGTGTAGTTCAGGTAGGAAGGATATATCTTCTTTTCTCCACATAGGGAGAGTAGATGACTCTTCAAGAAAAGGTTTCCTTAATAGCAAAGAACATTAGAGTTATCCCATTGCTACATCTTTTTAGCTGGCATATTGATTTATATCTGTGTTCTATATGACTCATTTTTTAAT